TTTTTGCATCTGTATTCATTACGGAGATTGGCCTGTAGTCTTCTTTCTTGGTTTGGTTTTGTTCTGGTTTTGGAATCATGGTAATACTTGCTACCGGGAATGACTTAGGAAGTACTGCTTCCCTTTCAATTTCCTTAAAGAGTTTCAGCGTTAGTGGCATTAGTTCTTCTCTAAAATTTTGTAGAATTCCACAGTGAATCTATCAGGGCCTGGGCTTTTTTTTTTGTTGGTAAATTTTTAATTACATTTTCAATTTCATTGGCTGTTGTTGGGTTATTTAAAATTTTTATATCTTCTTGATTTAGTTTTGGTACTTCATTTATGCCTAGGAAGCTGTCCATTTCTTCTGTGTTTTCCACCTTATTAGCATATAGGTTCTTGAGCCAGGCATGATGGTGCATGCCTGTAATCCCAGCACCCAGGAAGCTGAGATGGGAGGATTATTGTGAGTTTGAGACCAGCCTCGGCTACAAAGTGAGCTCAAGACCAGCCTGAACTGCATAGTGAGACCAAGACCAGCCTGAACTGCATAGCAAGACCCTGTCTCAAGAAAATAAATAAATAAATAAATAGAATATCGGTTCTTATAGGAGGTGTTGATGATCTCCTGGATTTCTGTGGGATCCATTGTGATTTCCCCTTTTCATTGCTTGAATTTGTGTTTTTCTTTCTTCTTTTTAATATATTTTTTCAAAGAACCAAATTTTTGATTCATTGATTCTTTGTATTGTTTTCTTAGTCTCTGTTGCACTGATTTCTCCTCTTATCTTTATAATTTCCTGCCTCATTTGGGCTTTGGGTTTGATTTGTTCTTCTTTTAAGTTTGAGGTTCAACATTAGGTTGTTTATTTGAGCTCATTCTATTTCCTGATGTGTGAATTCATTGGTATAAATTTTCCTCATAAGACTGCTTCATTGCATCCCATAAGTTTTGTATGGGATGTTGTATAAGTATTATCATTTAATTGTATACAGTGTTTAATTTCATCTTTAATTTCTTCTGTGACCCATTGGTTGTTCAGAAGGGTGTTATTTAATTTCCATGTGTTAAAATAGTTTTTGTAATTTCCTTTGTCATTGATTTCCAGTTTCATTGTACTATGGTCAGATAGTATGCATGGGATGATTTCAATTCCTGTACATTTACTTAAATATGTTTTGTCAGCTAATATATGATCTGTTTTGGAGAACATCCCATGTGCAACTGAGAAGAATGTGTATTCTGGTGTTTTGGGGTAGAACACTCTGTAGACAGCTACCAAGTTCATTTGCTCATAGGCGTGGTTTAATTCTAATACTTCTTTGTTGATTTTTTTTTTGTCTAGTTGAACTATCCATTTGTGAGAGTGGGGTATTAAAATCCCCCACTATAATTGTGTTGTGCTTATTTGGTTTTTTATGTCAGTTCAGATTTGTTTTATTAGTTGGGTGAACCTTTGTTTGGTGCATAAATATTTATGATTACTGTCTTTCTTCTTGGAGTTTTTCCTTAACTAACATGTAGTGACTTTCTTTGTCTCTTTTGATCAGTTTTGGCCTAAAGTTTACACTGTCTGCTAATAGTGTAGCTACCCCTGCTTTTTTTCTGGGTTCCTGTGGTATGGAGAATTGTTTTCCATCCTTGGACTTTTAGTCTATGAATTTCTGTTTTGGTTAAATGTGTTTCTTGAATGCAACATATTGTTAGATCTTGCCTCCTGATTCATTCTGCCAGTCTGTTTCTTTTGATTGGTGAATTGAGACTATTTACATTGATGGTTATAACTGATACATATATATTGGCTTTTCCTTTCTTTGTTGTTTCCTTGTTGTGTGTTCCCCATTTTTCTTATCTGTCTAACTGCTTGCCATGCCTGATGGCTTCTTTCTCTTATTGTCCTGTGTATGTGGTCTCCATTAACTCTTTCTAATATGTCTTTCAGAGCATTCTGTGGAACTTGCTTAGTGATCTTAAATATCTTCAGTTCCCCCTTGTCATGGAAGTATCTTATCTCTCCATCAATTTTCAAGGATAATTTTGCTGGAAGTATCAATCTGGGTTGAAGACTGTTTTTCTTTAGGGCCTGAAGTACTTCACTCCAAGCTTTCCTTGACTTGAGGGTTTGTGTTGAGAAGTCTGCTGTGATTTTGATGGGCTTTCCTTCATAGGTGATATGTTTCTTTTCTTTAGCTGCTTTTAATATTTTGTTCTTGTGCCAAATTTTTGGAATCTTGGTTATTATAAACCTTAGTATGTATTTATTTTGGTCATGGCTATTTGGAGTTCTGTATGCTCCATTTATTGTATGTCAAAATCTTTATCCATGTTTGGAAAGTTTTCTGCCATTATTTCTTTGAAAAGGTTTTTAATGGTTTTTGTGCCGTCTCCAGCCTTTTCACTGATTCCAATCAGTCTTATGTTGCTCTTCTTTGCTTCTTCCTATAGCTGTTGGATTGATTTTTTTTTTTTCTGGTCTCTTGTGACTTTTAAGATATCTTTCTTTTCCTGGTTGCTAGTTGCATTCTTGTCTTTTAGATCTGATATTCTAGCCTACCCTTCATTCAATCTGCTGCATATACTTCCAAGAGAGTTTCTAATCTCCTGCATTTCTGTTTGGATCTACTTCATTGATTCCATTTTTTTGAGTGTGTTTTTCATTCATGGTTTCCATCATTTTCCTGAGCTCCCTTATTTGTTTATCTGTTTCTGCTTTAATGTCTTTTACTTTATAGTGATTTTTTTTGCACCTTAGATATTATTTTTTCTTTGGCCTCTTCTATTTATTTTTTACTTCTGTTGCTATCATTTCAGAGAGTTCCATTTGTTGGCTTCCAATTTCTTCTGTCTCTTTGTGTTCTGGGCTTGCCCTGGGTGGGTTGGATGTTTGGGATTGTATTTTGCTTCTTCATCTTGTCATTTTCTATTTTCTACTTTATTTTGTTTTCTGTGTTGATGCTTTTAGCTTTCTAATATTAGATAGCCTTAATCACTGATGTTGAGGCTTTCCTTGGAGGTGTGTGTTCCTCCGGATGTCTCCTCTTGCCAACACCACAGTCCCGGGGCAATGGAGGAAGGAAGCAGCATGAATTACACTTCTCTCACTGTCACCACTGTCCCAGGGCAATGGAGAAAGCACAGGGCATGAACTTTCACTCCTCTCAATGATTCTGCCTTCATTATTCTCCCAAGCACCTTCCTCACCTTCCTACCAGAACTGCTGTCCCAGGAAAATGGAGGGGCTGCAGGTTGTGGACTTACTCTCCTCCCACTGGCACTGCTAAGCCAGGGCAATGGAGGACACTCAGGGTGCAGGCTTATACTGTTCCCACTGGCACTGCATTCACTCTTCCCAGCAGAATTGCCATTCCAGATAATAATTGGTTTGTTTTTGATCACTGTAGATTAACTTTCATTCTGTAGAATTTTTTATACATAGCATTATACAGTATTTAGGTTGTCAGGGAAGATTCAGCTGCTTTCATTGTAATTGTCCTGAAATCCACCCATTTTTATGTTACTAGTTTATTTCTTTTATTGCTGAGTAATATTACATTGTATGGTTATACCACAATTTATTTACCCATTTGCCTGTTGATAGACACTTGGATTTTTTCCAGTTTTGACCATTAGAAATAAATATTTCATGAACATTTGTGTGCAGATTGGGTCATATATTTTTCATTTCTAGAAGTGGAATTGCTGGATCATATGAATAAAAGAAGATGTCATACTGTTTCCCTAAGTGGTTGTACCATTTTACATTATGATTAGCAAGTAGGAGAGGTCCAGTTCTTTCTCTGGGCCAACATTTAGTCCTTTTGTCTTTATGATAGGTGTGTAGTGGTATTTTACCGGGTTTTATTATTTTTCTAATGACTCATGATGTTGATCAGTTTTTCAGGTGCCTGTTTGAAATTCTGTATGTCCTCTTTAGGGAAATGCTAGTTTAAACCCTTTGCCTTTTACAATTTTGGACTTTCTTTTTTATTCACGTTTTAGTTTTGTTTATTCTGGATACAAATCACTTATAGAGGAATATGAAGTACAAGTATCATCTCTTTACTGGTGTTGGTCTTTCCATTCTAAAAGTGGTTTTCAAAGAGCAGAAGCTTTAAATTTGGATGAAGTCCAACCTTTTCTTTTTCTTTATGGCCTGTGTTTTTTGCTGTTATATCAGAGAAATCTTTGCAGAAGCTAAAGTCACAATGATTTTCTGTGATGTTAATTTTTAATATTTTTCATGATTATGGTTTTGATTTCCTGCCTTACTAAATAAAAGCAGAAGTAAGGCCTTTGGGTAGCCATCAGGTCTTGCATGACCTGGGCCCCAGTGCTTCTCTTATATCATAATGTTTGGTCTTGCTTCTTATCCCATAGCTGTGCCAGCCTTCTCCCTGTCCCTGCAACACACCCATTTGCCCCCATTATAGGGCTTTTGTACTTTCTGCCATTCCCTCTGCCTGGAAATGTTCTGACCTCATATACTCATCTAGCTCATTGTTCTATTGCTTCCTTCAGGTCCCTGATCAATTTAAATTACAAAGGCCTTCCCTGACTTCTCTCTGTAATGTATTAACTGTCTTCCTCTACTTTTACATTTCCCCCTGGTACTTGTCATGTGACACCTTATATAGCTATTTATTTGCTTATTGCCTTTCTCATCCTTGTGGAATGTTAAATTCTCAGATGCTGGGAACAAACAGAACTTAATGCTAGTAGACCTAGTAGACCACAGTATCGATTTGTGGAGTGGATAGATGAATTAGATGGAGATGCACCAACAGAAAGCATTTTCCTCAATTATTTGTAACAATCTAGTGACATTTAATGAAACAAGCCCTGGAAAAGATATTTGGGGAGCGTGGAGGTGAAAAAGGGACTGCTGAGTATAATGCAAGTACAAAATATTGAATGCTCTATAAAGTCATATGTAACATTTAAAATAATACCTAGGTGAGAACTGTATTTGAAAATGAACACCTTGTCAGGGGAAAAAATGAAAGTCTGGTTTAGTTAGTAAATTTATTGTACTTTTTATTTATTTAAAGGTAAGAGAAAAATAGACATGATAAAGCAAGTGACTAAAGCCAGCACATTTTGTGCATTTCTTCAGACACTTGGTAGCACTGGGCACGTGTTTTTACTCTGCACTGATCTTTGTGTGAACCTCTCGGCTCTTCACCCTCAGTTTGTTGACCTGAGATTCAGCGATATCAGCCCGTTCCTCTGCCTCCTCCAGCTCGTGTTGGAGCTTGCGGAATTTCGCTAGATTAGCATTGGATTGTTCCTCCTAGGAGGAGAAATAGGGATGTGAGAATTAGACTTTGTGGTTCTCATTGCTCTCCATGACACACAGGATTTTATTTCCTCCTGTCGAATATTTTCTTCTCATGTTTTGTTTGTTGTGACAGACTTCTAACCTGGACAGAATTTGTAAATTCAATTACAGTTTTCACTTGAAAGGATAAAAGGGAGAATAGTTTTGCTCTGGAGAGGACATCCTCTTGTCAAACGCACACATCCACTCCTGATGCATGTCTTGGGTGGAAAGCAGAAAGAAACCCTCATAGAGCTCAGTTAGTAAGTGTAAAGTCAATCAGTAACTTTGTGAAAATCCTACTATTGTTTTGCCATATATTTTGCTTCTCCTATATAGAGAAAGGGGAAAAGTGGGGCTAGGAAGAAAGAGCACCTCTGTTGGTATTGGTTTGACTCATTCCCAGTTATGTCTTTCCCTTTCCCCTTTCTTTTCCTTCCTTCCTACCTCCATTATACCCACTACATGTATCTGGAAGAATGTAGGGGGCAGGAAAAATATAAATGATGAATCTTCCAAACCTTTTTTGTGTTGGAGAATGAACCTAGTGTGTCATACATGTTAAGCACACACTCTTTCACTGAGCTACATGCCCCCCTTTCAACATGTTCTGATAGTGGTTACAGCAGATGTGGAGAGAAAAGCTCTGCTCCTGACACTGGTAGTGAGGGAATGAATCAGGTGGGATACAGGATTGGTGTTTGGTTTTGGAGAAAACCTGATTTTGTGTAGGTGAAGGGAGAAGGATATTCATCCTGGTACTAGTTTCTACTGTGTTCCTTGCAGCTATCAGGTAAGGTGGGTTGTTTGGAACTTTCTTTTTTTTCCCAGCCCTCACAAATTTCTTAATGATAAAAGTGTATCTTTTTGAAGTTCTATTCTATAATTGGGATGAAGGGGTGTAAATTCATATTTGTAAAAAACCCTTCTAAAAATCTATGATTCTTTGTCCTCTTTTTCTCATTAACGCATCTTTTTAGCACATTTCTATCTCAAAAGAAATTTGCCTCTTTCCTTAAGGGATCAAAGGTACTTACAGCCTCTTCAGCTTGTCTTTTGTATGATTTCACCTTTGCCTGTAATTTATCCACCAAGTCCTGCAGCCTGAGAACATTCTTGCGGTCTTCCTCAGTCTGAAAGTTTGAAAAAAAATATGTTCATCCGATCCCCAAAACAGCTTACTGTGAGGTGGTAAAATAAACTACTTAGTACTCCAGCAAATGGCCTGGCATAAGCTTGGCCAACTTGGAGGCTTTGCTCATGGTTGTAATGGTAGCCACTCTTGGTAAATATCTACCATGTGCAAACACTGCAGTAGGTAATTACAAACATCTCTAATCCTTATCTCCCGAGCCTGGGAAGTAAGTGCTCTTATTCTTCTTCTGTAGGTGAGGAAACTAAAGTTTAGAATATTAAGTAATTTACTCAAGTTCAGAAAACTAGAGCAATACCCAGTTTATCTGGCCCTAAACCTACATTCCTTTCTCTCCTTTGTCATTTTCATCCCTTCCTCCCTCTCTCCCTCTCCCTGCCCTACTATCTCTCCCGCCATCCCTTCTTTCCTCTTTCCCTTACTCCATCCCTCTTTTCCTTCCTCTGCCCCTTCCTTTCACTGGGGATTGAACCCAGAACCTGTCTCATACTAATCACACGCTCTCCCACTCTATCCCCAACCCTACTGTGTTCTCTAAAGGCCTTCCTAGTCTTCCTAGTTTAGTATAAGTTTGTGATAAGCAACTGTGTTTGCTACCCCTTATATGTAGGGAGTTAATATGTGTCTAATTGTGAGTGTCACAAAAATACTAACTTTCCTTCTGTGCAGGAAGTCTGGATATTCTAGAAAGCTATTTCTGTTACCTGGTAAGTGAGTTCTTTTACTCTTCTCTCATGTTTCCGTAACCCTTTAACTGCCTCAGCATTGCGTTTCTGTTCATTTTCAACCTCTCCTTCAAGTTCACGTACCTGCAATCAAGAAAGATCCACATGCAGTTTGGGAATATTAATTTGCCCAGGAGCTGTTAAAGGAATAAGATGGGTATCCCTGACTCCAGCACAAGGATGGGACTCCATATGTAGGTCGAGAGATGGGAAGAGAGACAGTAACTTTTTTCCTTTCCCTGGCTTAGAGATTGAGACACCCACCCTGGCCTCCAGCTTCTGGATCTGCTTCTTGCCGCCCTTCAGTGCCAGCTGCTCGGCCTCATCCAGACGGTGCTGCAGGTCCTTCACCGTCTGCTCCAGGTTCTTCTTCATCCGCTCCAGGTGGGCGCTGGTGTCCTGCTCCTTCTTCAGTTCCTCGGCCATCATGGCGGCCTGGTTAGCAAATAAGTCAAGAAAATAATGAAATCTGGTGGTAGCAGGTAGCAAGGGTGTGTCAGGATAGCAAATGTTCATCTTGCTCACATCTGTGATGGCCTTCTTGGCCTTCTCTTCTGCATTGCGTGATTCTTGAATTACTTCTTCTACTTCACTATGGAGTTGTGAGACATCATTTTCCAGTTTCTTCTTGGTGTTGATAAGACTGGTGTTCTATTAAAAGTGGTGAAAATTTGCAAGATTTATAGTTTGCCTTCTTGAAATTTCACAAATATTATATTGTTGGATCATCCTAAGAACCTGATGTTAGCATTTCACTAGACTTTAAGTATTTGTTCAGTGCAAAATATTAATCATTTGCAAGGTTGGGAAATTCATCACACTTCAATGCACAATGTCCACCTGCAATAAGGACTCTGGGGTTTAAGAATGCCTATATTTGTACACATTAAGTTTTTGCTCTTTCAATTATATTTTAGCCTTATATAACTAGCATTCTATCATCAAAAGTTTGAGAATAATTGTCAGGAAAGAATAGATTCTTTTTGTGAATGTTTGGCATGGGAGTTTCTCCATTAGAAGGAATCTATTCTCCTTGAATTTCATGGTTTATTCTTCTGAGGCGTTCTGAATTTGTCTTCTGAAAATATTTTCTCAAAATTTTAACCTAGTGGTTCTCAAAGGGAAGCCAAAGCACTTCCACTGGTACTTGAAATGCTTGGGGGGCATTTTTGGAGTTCCTGTGACTAGAGGGCACTACAGTATTTACCACTTGGACGAGCCAAGGAGGCTAACAGTCCCACAAGGTACAGGGACAGTGAACACAACAAAACTGAATGCTGACGTGAGAAAGAAATGATGCATGGGACGTTTTCAGACTTTGGAATTAACAAGTATCTTTAACCAAATTTATTCTACCTCATGGCTGTGAAAATAATCTAAAGAGTCAAACATTTTTACATTAAAAAAAACCTTTTTGGTAGAAAATCTAAAAAAAGGCAAATAGGAACACACACCAGAATCACTGATAATTCCATCACCCACAGATAAGTGAGACTGATCTTTCAGAGCATATCCCCATCCTTGGTTATGTACACATATTTATAAAAATGTGGTACACCCATATTACACTCTGACTCATCACTTCCAGTGTAACAGCATTTGTCTCACCTGGGTGTGGAGGAGCTGCACACGCTCACTGGCATCCAGGAGCTCCTGCTCTACAATCTTCCTGCTCCTCTCCGTCTGCTCCAGCGTGGCCTGCAGCTCCTCTACCTCGGCCTGCAGCAGGTTGGCTCTGCGCTCCACGATCGCCAGCTGCTCCTTCAGGTCCTCCTGGCCCCGGAGAGCATCATCCAGGTGCAGCTGGGTGTCCTATTAAGTTAAAGAAAAGGCCTTAGACACTCTGAAGAGGATGAACACATTCCAGTGGGCAAATTGTAGGAGTACTCTGGTGTCAGGAACATGGAACGACGTGCCTGTCATTTGAATGAGCTTGAGAATGGTGATGTCCCTTGCTTAGGCTAAGAGAAAACTATCAGAACATGTGAGTTCTTGTTCTATTTCTGCCTTTAAGTGCTTGTTTTTATGTGCAAATCACTAATATTTATCATTTATGAAGCATTTTCTATGCAGCCTTCCCAGCACTCCAATCTGTTTTCTCATTTGATCCTCACAGTACCTCTGTGGTTGGAAGTTTCATTCTTACTTTGTAAAAGAAGAAACAGAAGTTCTAAGAGATGAAGTGACTTGTCTAATATCAAGCAGCTAGTAAATGACAAAGTCAAGACTCAACCTCAAGAGTGTTTGGTGCCAAAGGCTATGCACTTTCTATGATGTCATATCTTAATGTGTAGGCTTCTATTTTTCTCTACATAGAGTTTTTAAAAGAATATGTTTTGGGCTGGGGATATAGCTCAGCGGCATAAGTGCCTGCCTAGCAAGCGCAAGGTCCTGAGTTCGATTCCTGGTAGAAAAAAAAAAAAAAGAATATGTTTTATGTGTGTTTAACTACCTCTGGGTATTCAGCTCTGTACTTTGTTAAAAGAAGAAAAGAATGGTTAGTGAAGCATGTGGGGAGTGACTCTCTTGACTCATCTGAGAGGCTAAGGACCCATCTACCTTGAGGACGCCTTGGGTGTTCCTGTAGTTCCGCAAGCTCTCTGCAGCCAAGCGGTTGGCGTGGTTTAGCTGGATTTCCATTTCATTCAGGTCTCCTTCCATCTTCTTCTTGACTCTTAGAGCATCGTTCCTGCTCCTGATCTCAGCATCCAGTGTGCTCTGCATCGTCTCCACGACTCGGATGTGGTTTCTCTTCAGCTGGTCAATTTCCTCATCCTTTTCAGCAACTTTCCTATCGACTTCGGACTTAACTTGGTTCAACTCAAGCTGGATACGTAGAATCTTTCCTTCTTCATGTTCAAGAGATGCCTTAATAAAACACCAACTAATTAGTAATGGAAAAGAACTCGAATATTTGGAGTCCATTCCCTTGTGAGCCAAACTTATTTATCTGCTTGTCTAGTTTTACAAAGTAAGAGTAGTTCCAGGAATCAGCTAGTAAAATGATTCTTTTGTTTATTTAACCACAGATTATATAGGATAGTTCTGTAATAAAAGCGCTTTGTGATATGCAAATATTCATTTTCATACTAACAAATTTATGTGACTAAATCTATGTGTAGTAACATTAACTCTCAATCTGTTTTATAAGTTAAAATGTTTATGTGTGATATACTACTGTAGAAACTATCAGTTTTAAATTATATTTATATATTTTTTGATCAGGTAGAACACATTCAATGTAGCATGTGCATGTAGTTCATGAAAAGAACAACAAAAAACTATCTGTATGTCTCTGCTCAGAGATAACTATTTTAAAGTGGCACTTTATTCTAGTCTGTTTCTGCAAACATTTTTATATAGTCAAAGTTGAATATGCAGGTTTGTGTCTTCCTTTTAAAAAGTATTTTAAAGTCTTTATTTTTATCTACCAGAATTATTTTCCCATATTAATCATACTTAATGGCCGTGTAAAATTCCATCAGATGGCTATTCTAAAATTTGCTTATTCTTGTCCTTGGTTTGACAAGAATCTTTGTTTTAATGCTTTGCTTCTTTTTAAAATCATTTTGTTGGGATAAATTCTAAGAGAACTGATGGGTCAGAGTATTTACATTTTTAAGGCTTTTGATCATGATTGCCAAGTTGCTCTTCATATAGGTCATATGGATTCAAATCATCACCAGTTCCACAATAATGTGCCCAACTCAAATTACCAGGGACCATTCTGAGCGTTTTCACTGATCATTTGATTTATCCCACAGCATAGTAGTAGGTACCTCTGCTTCCTCTAAGGCAGCCTGAAGGTCGCATTTCTCTTGCTCCACTTGCTTCTTTATCTTCTCCAGTTCGTGAATTTGCTTTCCTCCCTCTGCAATCTGCTCTGTGAGGTCTGAAATCTCCTCTATGGATGCACAGGCAAAGCAGACCTGGTTAGACTGATGGCAACTTGGAAGGGTCTGGCCAGGGATGCATAGGATACGGGAAGTCATAGGGACTCACGCTGCAAGTTCTTATTTTCTCTCTTGAGTGTTTCAAGTTGATCCAGGGACTCCTCATAGGCGTTCTTCACCTTGAACAGCTCAGTACTGAGAGAGCGGGACTCCTTCTGGGAGGCCTCAAGTTCAGCCTGGGTTTCCTCATACTTTTGTTTCCACTCTGATAGGATCTGCAAGACAGGACATTGTCAGCCTGTCCCAGGAAAAGGAATACCGCATAAAACATCACAAAGCTGAAGCAGGCTGGGCTACCTTATCAAAGTTCCTCTGCTTCTTATCCAGAGCTGCACAGGCGGCATTCGATCTCTCCACATCTAGCATGAGGTCCTCCACCTCATTCTGTAACCTCTGCTTTGTCTTCTCCAAGGAAGCACATTTGGCATTCACAGCTTCTACATGCTCCTCTGCTTCCTGCAGGCGCTGAGCCAGCTTCTTCCTGAAAAGTGAACCAGGTTGTCAAGACCTGGCCCAGACTACATAGAAGCAAAATAATAACCTCTATGGCCCCTTCTCATGGTCCTGTTCTTTACTGTCAGAACTCATATGAGTCTCAAAATTGTGGCAGCCAGAACTGCTCCCTAGAGTGATAAATTGCATGGAAAGGTTCTAAGTGCTGAATAACTGGAGTCAAGCCCTGGGTATGTTATTGAATTCTTAGAGGTGGCTGTTGGTGCTACCACTATACCTGCTTTACTGCATCAGTAATTTGGACCTTTGAGGACTTCTGATTAGGGATCATTGTGAAAATGATTAGCTGAGACAATTTTATTGGTTGAGACCCCTTCTTATCTCATAAAGAATTTGGGGCCAACTAGACATTTTATTGGTCAAAAAAAATACACTGAGTATATTTACTTGTTTTCTCAGACTTTCCATTTCTTTGTATGTACATTCTCCCTGCAGGATGTTCAGTCATATGTACTTGGCCAGTCTACCCAGAGAAATAAATCAATAGATAAATCAGGACAGTTCATGCAGCTTAAGCAAAGAGAGATTTTTTTTCAGCTTGATTCATCTGTATTCCTGCTTTATTCCCAATGGTGTGCCAAGTGTATATCCCTAAGGTATAGAAAATACTTTAGCCTTGATCCCCAAGAAGATCTAATTGACGGTGTCTTGGTTGATTTAAGATTAGGGCTTTTTGTTTTAGTTTTTTGAGACAGGGTGTTGCTATGCAGTTCAGGCTGGCCTTGAGCTCACTTTGTAACCTAGGCTGGCTTTGACCTCATGGTGTTTCTCCTGCCTCAGCCTCCTGAGTGCCACCCTGCTAGTAAAGACTAAAGCTTTACCCTATTTAGACCAATCTTACATATTATGTATAGTTTGCTGGCCTCCAATATGAATTTTGAGAGGTATGTCTTATTTACTCAGTGTTTAAGAAAGAGGGCACTGGAAACAGAATGTCTAGTTCTGGTCCCAGCTGTACCATTTATTAAGGGTATGCCTTTGGGTTAGTTGTTTAACATGTTAACAGCCTGAATTTCCTCATCTGTATGATGGAGATAAAAATAATTATACCAACCCAACATTGTTTTGAAAACTAAATGAGCTGATATAGATACAGTAGTATTTTTTTTTTTTTTTTTTTGGTACTGGGGATTGAACCCATGGCCTTTGCAGTGAGCGACATCTCAGCCCTTTTGAATTTTTCTGTTTTGAGACAGGGTCTCACTAAGTTGCTAAATTGCCCAAACTGGATTCCAACTTGTGTCATTCCTGCATCAGCCTCTCAGAGTGCTCATGGACCACTTTGCCTGACTAGGTACATAGTTTGCATTCAATAAAAGTTAGCTTTTATTTTTATGTAGCTGTCATCATCATCATCACCACAACTATTTCTGGGAGTGGCTAAGTTGGGCTACTGAGAGACCATGTTTTTCTCCTGTGGAGTTCACGGCACATACTTGGCCTCCTCCAGCTCCTCCGTGCGCTGGATGGCGTCCGTCTCATACTTGGTCCTCCACTGGGCAACCTCACTGTTGGCCTTGGAGAGTGCTCTCTGCAGCTCGGCCTTGGCTTCCTGCTCCTCCTCATACTGCTCCCGCAGCAGGTCACAGTCGTGGCGGGAGGACTGCAGCGCATGCGCCAGGGCATTCTTGGCCTGGGGAAGTGGCATTCAGTGGCTTAAAATTCATGTACTCAGTGATATTTAATTTATAGGACCTCAAGTAACACCTAATTGAGCATATTAAGATTGGATTAGGGGGCTGGGTATTTAGCTCAGCGGCAAAAAGCACTTGCCTGGCAAGCGCAAGGTCGCGAGTTCGGTTCCGGTACCGGAGAAAAACCAAAACCAAAAAAAAAAAAAAAAAAGATTGGATTAGTTAGCAAGATTTTTGGAAAAACTCACTTTATTTTCTTCCTCCAGCTGACGTTTCAGCTCCTCAATCTGTTGGGTAGATGCTTGTTTGTTCCTTGAAAGCTGAGAAACTAAAGCATCTTTCTCATCTAATTGTCGGGAATATTCACCTAAGAATGATAGGAGTCAAGGAATTTTTAAATTGTGTAACAATAACCCTAAAACTTTCATATTTATATGTGTGTGTGTATATAAAATACGTTTTATCTGCTTCTAAATATTGTGTAGAACTGGAGAATAGCAGAGAGAATTGCGGCAGGAGTGTAGCAAACTGCTTAGTCTTATTTTTTTCTCTTCATGGCCTGCCCATAAAATTATTAGTTTATTTGACCCCTCTAAAATAGGCATTGTGAAATGATAGGAAAGTACTCAAGGGTAAAGGGCAACTGGCATGTGCAAAAGATAAGGGAAAGAAGGAAAATTTTGTGTGTATGTATATACAGGATAGTTAACATAGTTGCTCTACTGTCTTCTATTTCTTTGCTGAAAGAAACTGTCAATAAGTCCTTGACTGATCAATATTGCATGTCTCTGTTTTTATGAGAAGCCACTTTGAAGATATCAATATGTAATACAACAAGCATTATTAATTTCCTACTACTTTGTTTGTAACTCTGTATTGTCTGTACTGTTCTTTTGCTATTTTGTAAATGGTGGTCTGTCTGTTAATGTTTTCCTCCTTTTATTTTTAAAATAAAAAAAATAAAGTAGGAATACTACAAGGCCCTAAGTTCAATCTCCAGTACCACCAAATAAATAAATAAATAAATAAATAAAGTAGAATACTGCTGTTTACTTGGAGGCTGTGGAATCACTTTTATCTGGGCTTTGATGTTAGGACTCAGAGAAGGCATCCTTACCTGCTTCTGTCTGCAGACGCGCCCTCTGTGCTGTCAGCTCGTTGATCATCCGCTGCTGCTCCTCCTCCTTGGCCTTTAGTTCACTCACTTGATCTTCTAGTGTCCGGCACATCTTCTCAAGGATTCCCTACGGGACAATGGACAGTGAAAGATGAGACACTAATGCAGCAGCAACACTTAGACCCTGATTCTTAAAATAATTTTAGCGTGAATAAATTGATATCAAGTGTGAGCAGAAATTGAGGATGTCAGCTTTGTGGAACATGCTCGAATTCAAGTATGGTTTGCGTGCCATGTCTGTTCCGGTTGTTGTCACAGACCATTCCTGTATCTCAACGATTCTGACACTTGCTAAAAGTAGATTTCGAAATCATCTTAGTGGGTTATCATGCGCAATCGATATAGTGAAATACAATGGAATGCAAAATATAAAATACCTACAAACCGTGTTTAATACCATAAAAATGCATTGGCCTTGTATATCATAGCATCGTCTAGAGACAATCCTGGGTACCTTGGCTTTGGAAATGGCTTCTGCATTACTGCTAAGGTCATCAATCTCCATCTTCAGCTCGCTCTTCTCTTTCTCCAGCTTCTGCTTGACCCGCTGCAGGTTGTCAATCTGCTCCCCGAGCTCGGCCACACTGTCCGCGTGCTTCTTCCTCAGGGTGGCCGCCGTGGCCTCGTGCTGCAGGGTCGCTTCCTCCAGGTCCCTGCGCAGCTTCTGAAACTCCGCCTCCCGCTTTTTGTTCAGTTCTATCTGGGCGGAAGTGGCCCCGCCGGCTTCTTCCAGGCGCTCACTGATCTCCTCCAGTTCTCTCGAGAGGTCAGAGCGCTGCTTCTCTGCTTTGGCCCGGGAGGCTCGCTCTGCCTCGATTTCCTCTTCCAGTTCCTCGATGCGGGCCTGGGAGTGAAGCAAACACATTAGCATAAATTCATCTCAGTTTTAGTTTTTGTTTAATGGGCAGAAAAGTAGAGGTGACCACCTGCAACTCTTTGATCTTCTTCTGTAGTTGAATTTCTACCGCTTGCTCATCTTCAATTTTGCTTATCAAGTTGCTGATTTCGAATTCTTTCCTTCAGACAGAGTGATAAGACATGGTAATACTCAAGTGAATTCAAACACGGTGTCACATAGAATTTTTTCTGGAGTACTTACTTTTTAAGCTTTTCATCAAGTTGTTGTTTGTCATTTTCTATATCCATTGTGGATTCTTGGGCCAATTTGAGGTCACCTTCCAGTTTCCTCTTGGCTCTTTCTAGGTCCATGCGAAGTTTCTTTTCTTGCTCCAGAGACCCTTCGAGCTAGTGGGAAAGTTAATATGTTAAAAATGGAAAGCATATTTTACTTATTTATTTATTTATGGCTTTACTCTATGTAGGTGCAGGCTGGCCTGAAACTCATGGTGATCCTCCTGCTTCAGCCTCCTGACAGCTGGGATTATAAGTGTGCACCACCACACCCAGGGAAAGTATATTTTAAAAATACTTCAAAAAGATATTAAAAAGGTGCTGACATCATCCACTTGCTGTTCAAGCTTTGTTTTAGCTTTGGTCAGAGTGTTGACTTTGTCCTCCTCTGCCTGCAGGTCATCCAGGGTCTGCTGGTGGGCCTCTTGGAGGGCCTTCTT